GCACCATCCCGCACATCCCGCACACNGCACATCCCGCGCATCCTGCACTATCCTGCACGTCCCGCACATCCCGCACATCCCGCACATCCTGCACCATCCCGCACATCCCGCACCATCCCGCACCATCCCGCGCATCCCGCACATCCCGCACATCCCGCACATCCCGCACACCCCGCACACCCCGCACACCCCGCACATCCCGCACATTCCGCGCACCCCGCACATCCCACACATCCCGGCGCTCCTGAGGGACTGCCTTCGGGATACAGGCGCGGCCCCGACCCCCAGCTCGCCCAATTCTGGCTTCTGTGTGATTGCACAGGAGACGCCCTGCTTTTTATATTCTTAGGGCACGAAACGTGGCACAGGGGTTCCTTGTAAATTCTTTCATGCATTAGTTAAATCGCTTATGACTGATTTTATTTTCTTATATTTTTTTTCCATGCAGTCTCCAGCAAATATTTTCTGTTCTTTTATTGAAAGTCAGAAAGCTTAAAAATACTTTAAAAAGTTAGGAAAGGCTCTGGAGCACAGGTCTGATGAGGAGCGGCTGAGGGAGTTTAGCCTGGAGGAAAGAAGGCTCATGGGGGACCTAATAGCTCTCTACAACTACCTTAAAGGAAGTGTGGTGAGCTGGGGTTCAGCCTCTTCTCCTAGGTAACAAATAAAAGGATGAGAGGAAATGGACTCAAATTACATCAAGGGAAGTTTAGGCTGGGTATCAGGAAAAAAATTTCTTTGAGAAAGTTTGAACAGGCTGCCCCAGGGAAGTGGTTGAGTCACCATCCTCAGAGGTATTTAGGAGATGTGCAGATGTAGCACTTTGGGACGTGATTTAGTGGTGGACTTGGCAGTGCTAGATTACTGCTTGCATTTGATAATCTTAGGGGTTTTTTCCAACCAAAGTGATTCCATGATTCTCTGATTTTGAAAAAAAAAAAAAATAGAAAAATATTTGTGTTTTCTTTTCCTAGGAACAACTCATACAGTAAAAACTTCTTTCTCAGAAGAACACCTTTTTGTAGGTCGTGCCCCTGTTAATTATAGTGGTCTGAAAAGTGTTTCTTCAGAAGAGAGATTAAACTGGAACTTGTTGTCACAGTGAGTAAATCATTTCTATGCATCCAATGAAAGTCTCAGCAAAGGGTTGGTAACTGGTTGATAATGTCCATTTTATGTCGGTTTCTGCAGTGAAACCACACTGCCTTTCCTAAGAAGTTTGCTTTCCCTAGTCCTTCCAAATTTAATCTGTGCCTTAATCTAAAATATCTTCTTCAACATATGAGAAATAGAGAAGTTTCCTCAATCTGCCTCAGAAAACTACTGCCAAGACCCACCTACTTCAACAGTCACACACAAGCAATGGGGAAAACTCTGTCCACAAATTTATTTTCCGTATTTTAAATTTTCCTTGTCTTTTTATGAACCCTCCATTTTCAGGTCCCAGATGAAAACAGCTGCAAGAAATTTGCTCTTTCATGTTTTTTAAAATAAATACCTAATAATTTGGTCACTGTTTTCAATTTTTCCTCTGTCTTGTTAAGTCCCAAGAAATTCTGGTACAGATTTCAGCAAGCTTCATCTTTTAGATACAATTATGCTTTTCAGTGCTAATACCTATCTTCTTAGAGGAGGACAGTCAGCAACCCAGCCTATGGCTCATTGCAGACAACTTAAAAATTACATAGAGATTTTATCAAGGAATAATTGAGGTGGCTGAAGTTTCCAAATAAGGTATCACACGGGGCACGTATTTTACACTCCTCTGTTGGAAAAACAGACAGAAACTTGCCCCAAAGAACAGGTAGCTATGAGTCAGCAGATACTCCTGTTCTTTACTGATTCCTTACAGGTATGTTAGATTCAGTGCCTTATGTAGCAAAAATAAGCTAACAATGAGAGGAAGTGCAGGTGTATTTTTCACATGATACTATTACATATCCAGTGTTATTGATTAATTTTCCTACTGACGTTATTACAGACTGATATCCAAACCATGCCTTGTGATAAGCATTGTGATTTCAGCATTCATTAAGTCAGGAAGAATAACAACCTAGTGTGACTGCTCAGGCTGGTGCTCACAGGGAGTTCACTGAAATCCCTGCTGCTTTAGCCACATTTGGGGCCATTCCAGCCACTTGGGATCCAGTTTGCAAAGAATAATTGGAACTGCTGAGAACACCCTTTTTTGGGAAGTGGCTGAAAAGTGGCTGCAAACACAGTGAACCTCAGCTACCATGGCAACCTCTCTGAGGAAGAGCCTACATTGTGGCTAGCTCTTCTTCTGCTTCTTGTCCACATCTTCCATCCTCTCAAGGGAGCTTCTTCTCGGCTCCCACATTACCTTTTCACCCCACTAAGTATGGTGAACAACGAGCCACGTTAGGAGGTGTTTTGCCAGCAGGCAGAGGTCCTTTGCCACTACTCAGCATTGTCAAGGATACACCTGGAGTCCTGTGCCAAGTTGTGGGTTCCTCAGTCTAAGAGAGACATGGGCACACTGGAGAAAGTGCAGTGGTGTGCCACTAAGATGATTATGGAACAGGAGCATCTTTCCAATGAGGAAAGGCTGAGAGAACTGGGACTGTTCAGTGCAGGGAAGAAAAGGCTCAGAGGTACAAGCACCTGCAGGGAGGGTGCAAAGAGGATGGAGCCAGGCTCTTCTTGGTTGTGCCCAGTGACACAGAGGCAATGAGCACAGACTTTTCCACCATGTGAGTGACCAAACATGCACACACATTGCCCAGAGAGGTGGTGGTCTCTACCCTCAGAGGTATTGAAACGCTACCTGGACAGGGTCTAAAGCAGTTGGTTTTAGGCAGCTCCACTTGAGCAGTGGGGTTGGACCAAATGACCTCCAGGGGTCCTTTCTTCAACCCTGCTGTGATTGTGTGAACAACTGCATAATTTTGTGGGCAAAGAAGCACTGGTGTGGTGCCACCACAGAGGCCTCCCACGAATCAGAAAGCGGCATTGGGCTGTCCTTATCCTTGACTATTCTCTAGAGGATGTTTGTTCATGAGAATGGCATGTTTGTGCTATTAAGAAGCTGGATAGACAACCCTGAAGTAAGGTAAACAGATCTGTCTCATCTAATGACATAACTAAGTTTGCTTTAATACTTTTTTTTTTTTTTTTTCCTAACTGCTCTGTGTTTAAATACTCCAGTCTCATTACACTCTAGCAGTTCTACTGACATTAGTGGAATTATTAACTTCTTGCAAGCAAAGGCTACTTTAACTTAAGTATCTAAAGGTAAAGGTGTAAGAGTCCTCACACATATTCAAGAAAGAGAAAAAGATCTGCCTGAAACAGAAATGAAAACAGAAGATGGCAGACAAAGAACTGATACTCCTTGTCATCCTAGTATGGTAAAACTTCCCTTTTAAATGAAAACAGTTTTCTATAACAGATTAGGTGATACTGTCCTTATTTTCCCTAAAGAGGGAATGATGAGCAGGGAACACAGAAGGCCTGAGGTGTGTATGGAGGAAGAATGGATAGAAAGAGGGAGAGTGGGAGAGAACAATTTTGCTGCAAAATGAAAAAAGACAAAAATAAATCTAAGGTATAATAAGTGCAATTCCAAATCAGCTGTACAAATGTAAAATCCAACATATTCCTTATAGAGCATGTTGTAACAATAAATCACTTTTAAAACTAGCCCTTTTATCTCACACATTAGAAATCTTATCTACCACCAAAGGAGTAAATACTGTCTTACTTTTACAACACTAACAGAGCTAAATACCCAGGCAATAAGCTACCTTTTCTGTATGTTTGCCCTGCTCATTTTTTCAGCAGTTTTAAAAGAAGATTTTATGAAAACCTAAATCATCCCAGTGATCTAAACCAGCTTCTCAGCTGAAATGTGAGTTTCATGAAGTTCCAGGCATTTTGAGAGATGCATTTTCAGAAGCCTGTGAAGAGGAGGTGCTCCATGATATATTATTCTAGGGGTCATTATAGGAGTGGCTCCTGAAATGGATGCTGCAGCAGGACAGGATGCCCACGGCTCTGACAAACCTGCCTCTGCTGAGCAGCCACAGCAGCAGCACCCGTCCAACACATGTGGGGCAGCCCAGGAAGTCGGGCTGCACTCTGGGCATCTTCCTCCTTCTCAGTAGCTTGGAATATGGGTAACCAGAAGGATTTTCTGAAGAAAAGAAGGGGAAAAGCAAACGGCTCCAAACCTCAAAAGAATCTAAACACCCACAGTTTTAAGTGGCATTTACTTCCATTGGAAAATAATTGTTTTCCTTCACAGTCCTTTCACCTTCAGGAATCTTCAGAAGTGATACCTTATCTTCTGATCCATGAAATATATGGTGATGGATGACCATGAATATGTGGTCTTGAAAGTTTTCCTGGGTGAGCAGACCATGTACTGGCCTTATTCACAAGCAGCTTGCACCCAAGTTTTTGCATGTTTTGGGAAAGAAACAAGATGAAACTTGATTCCCCCTGGGGTGCTCATTGATTTCACCTTCCTGCCAGTGGCAGGGCTCAGTGCCTGAACTTGCTCTGGAATGTTTGTCAGCTGTTTTGTTGGAGAGAAATCAGGGTATTGCTGGGAGTTGAACAGATCCTGCAGGTGGCTGAGTCCCACGTATTTCTGGGTTCTCCTACAAAAGAAGTGTGCTGGCCCATCTCATATTTTCCAGGATCTCTGCCATAGGAATGTAATGGACACTGGTATGTTCTGTGAGGGAATTCTCAACAGTATTGCCCTATAATTTTTGCGCAGTCAGACACACCGTAATCAAATCTGTGTCTTGCCGGGATCTGAGTTGGCAGTCCTTGCTCATATACAATCTCGTCTCATTTGTCAGCCACAGGGAGATCTTAGGCAGCTGCTCATGACTTAATTTCTCTCAGGTGCCCTGAAATTTGGTTTAATGAACATCTCTCAGTAAGAAAGGGGTGCAATTAAAAAAAAAAAAAGGGAGCAGGAGCAGTTTTCAGTGGAAAACTTCCTCTGATGAGAAAGGTCAGTGAAAGTATCTTTTTATAAAATTCTCGAATTTTTAAAACACAAAACTACTACTGTCTCTGGTCCCAGGCCCCATCCATGCTTCTACCTCATCCACCAAGGTAAGGCTAATTTTATGCTGGATAACATTCCCTTTAGCCACTAACTCTTGTTTGTGGTGACCAGAAGAATGTAAGATGAGAAACTGGAATAGTGCTTTTAATGTATATAGCTGTATTTACATATATATTGCATATATTGTTTTATGAAGTTCTTGGAATTAAATTTCTTGCTGCTGGGGAGCATTTATTTCCAGCAAATAACACAGGCACAGTGCTTGTTCTTTCTTGAAACTTTTGCAGTTCTGAGCCTGTAATTTTAAGACTGACCCGCTGCCTTAAGTGCAAAGATATTGTGGAGATTTTCCTCCAGGTGTTATTAGAGTTTAGCTTCCCTTTGCTGGTTACGTGTTGCCACTTCTGATGATACTGGTTCATCATACGGATACCATCTGTTGTCTGCACAATTTATTACTCAGTCTTATCTGTAGACAACAGATTCTTAAAGGGGACATAGGCATTTTTAAGAAAGTATATACAATTCATTAAATGCTTAACATTATTTATAAAATTGTTTTTAAGAGTGATCTGTTAGAGACATGTATGGAACTAGCAGTCCTCAGGATTTTTGTTGTCAACTCTGTCTCTGATGCTTCAGATCCTAGCTGTTTTTTATGTCCAAAAGCATTTGCATTTTTTCCCCTATAATAGCCAGCCTTACAAGAAGAAACACTGCCTCCCTGTACACCTTGTCTTGACTAAATAATATCTCAACTGAAAGAACAGCAGTCCTCCTGGAGGATAATCACATCATGGGGTTCTCACACCTTTTGCTCTCTGTGGAATCATCTCTTAGCCATGCTGACAGGGGCCTTTGGGCACCATCACATCCCAGATGCTAATAATTCTTATTTCTTTTGTCATGCAGCCTGTAAAAGTAGCAAAGCTCAGTCAAGAAGAAAACACAGAAATCCCTCTTTGACAGGGTTTGCTTAGTAGTATCAGCAGTCATGCAAAGCATGAGATCATAAAATATTCATTTTCATTTTTACTCCACCTTCTCTTCAAATAGCTCACGTAGACTTTCAACCATGAATGAATAATACCTAACAATTTCTCTTTGAAGTAAATAATATTATCTCTGTATATGGAGCTGAAAATGGTTGTTAACAAACTTTCTCAGGTGTGTATCAGAACTATATCAATCAGGAGAAAAACATGCACTCAGTCCTGGATTTTGAATCAGCAAGATCATTTTTGATGGGAACAAGCCATTAATTTTAGAAAAAAACAGTTTCAGGCATTTGAGATAGAAACAAATGCTATTTCCTTTTTTCTTAACAGTTAATTGCTGGGCTGATTTTCAGTAGAAGAAATCAAGCTTTAAATTCCAAAACTCTTCACTCTAAGAGTAAACAAAGGTACATTCTATATATTAAAATCACGTCTTCCTCTATTTAGATCACTAAACAACAACAAAACCCGATAAGACAATGATGCACCATTATATTTTGCTCTACTAAAGTATCTGATTCACAGATTATTTATGTGGGAAATTGCAGGTATATTATTAAAAGTGTTCAGGTCAAGCTAGCATTAACAGCAGGAAATATATTTACATCAGAAGAAAGAGAACAAAAAAAAAATCAGTAATTTAAATAGTTTTTGCCATGAGCATAAAATGTGTCAGATGCAGTAAGAGCAAAAGCCAGGCTGGGCTGGGAGAGATAAGGGTGATGGGAGGAAGAAAAGCATCACCAGAAGAGAGAAGAAAGGTGAGACAGAAAATAAAAGATTCAAGAGAAAAAGAAATCAAAGGGTAAAGAAAGGAAATATGTGAAGGGATGCAGTGAGAGAGAGGGAAGTGGAGATGAAAGGGCCCGAGGAGTGTAATGAGAAGACCTCACCTGCGAGCTGAAGTGGAATTCCAGCGGAGCAGCCGTGGGGCCGGCTCACTGTCATGGCTGGTGGTGCCCTGCAGTCCCCTGGCCCCACAAGTGAAACTGAGCCTGCAGGTGGTTGCCTTAAGGGTGCATGTCACTGCCCACAGTGAAACCACTTCTTCAAAAGAGAGGGCTCGAGACCTGAGGAAACAGCTGTGGGACGCGGAGAAGAGGGGCCTCTCTGGGGGTTGGGGAGCATCTTCCTTCTGTCAGAGGATGCCTCCACAGAACTGAGCAGCTGCCTCCACTTCAGCTGCTCAGTCTTGAGTCCTTTGCTCACACTTACATATTTTCTCATGTAAATTTGGTGCAGAAGGCTTTTTGCTGTCTCACTTCAAGTCTTATTTTTGAAGCAGTTACAATTTCTGCTTTCATGTGCTGGCAGTAAGCATAATTTCTACAAGTCCTGATGAGGGGAAGAGCTAGTGTTTTGCCAAGCTAAAGAGCTCAAAAAAAAATAAAAATCCAAATGAAGTCTGTGCAACAACATGGGAATACCCTGCCACATTTGTCCTGGCAGGCCAAGGGAGGTTTCCCATACTTGGTGAACACTTGCTCTGCTGGTGACAGAGGACCTGCTGCGGTCACCCCTGAGATCCTGCCACCCAGACAGGGGCAGGTTTGCAGCACGAGGCTGTGCTTATACCAGGGGGAACAGGGAACTAGCACTGTTTGTAGAAAGGTTCAAAGTGAGCTACAGATGTCCAGAAGTCTTTACACAGATTACTTATCTAGGGGATAAAGGCCCTCAGGCTCAGACTCGAGCCTGTAGAGGCAGAGCCCCTCTGCCCTCAGCCTGTCCCTGTTAACTTTCCCTGGAATACAGTGCTTCAGGAGCTGCCTCCTCATCAGCTCCAGGACACTGGTGAGTAAGAGGTGGAACTGGCCCAGGTGTAGCTGAACTTGCTGGTGCCAGCAAGCCCCACTGATTTGTACCAGAACAGGACAGTGCAGAGGGGCAGACAAATTTCCCTACCTTGCGCAGCTATGCATCACAGTCTTCGGGCAGAAAGTGGATCCAGTTTTAAGGATTGAGCTGGAGCATCTCCCCTGTGATCCCCCAGGATAGACTGAGGGAGTTTTATTATTTGCTCGGCTGTTGTATTTTCTACATATATATTTATATTTTATTATTCATCAGTTGTTATTTTTACTTGCCAAGGACTAAACATTCATTCTGCAACTGTTCAGAACCTGGATACAAAGAATCCCTAAGCAAATAAACTCAGTGTTGGTAAAGTGTTCTCAGAAACATCTCAGAGATGATATCTAGGTTTTTTATTTTTTACTGATACCTGGTATCAATAATAAAATACTTTCTTGCATTAGGGAAGTCAAATAAAAATGTAGATGAATCAGAACTAGACAGACATACCATAGCTAAAAGAAGACACAGAAAACATCCTGAAGGTAACTGCAGGGGCAATGGGGCACAGAGACCAGCATTGTTCATGGATATGAATGCATGATCTCTCACAAGACAGCCTTAGACACACTGAGTCAATAGCATTGTATTGTGGTGCTGAGCACAAGCTCTTGTGTTATGCAGTGCGAAGGAGCTGAAATGATATGAAAACTAGAGAAGTACATATTTGCAAGAATGCAAAAATGAGAAAAAGAAGCATAGGATTCCATGGGCATTAAAGAAATTGATGCAAACAGGAAAATACCATACTGGTCACAAGCTTTCTTGGCTGGCAGGTTGCTCCTTTTTTTTCCACAGCCCACCATGGTACACAGTCCCTCAGCATGAATGAGTTTTAAGACACCTCTGAAGATTGCCTAATCCAGTGCTATACTAAAAATATATATTTATTTATCTATATATAAATATATAATGATAATTATACATTATATATATATATATATATATATATATATATACACACACTAAAAACATGATCAGCTAGCACAGGTTTCCCCAGAGCACATCCAGTACAGTTTTAAATACCAACAGGGATGGGAGACTCCATAACTTTTCCTGGCCATCTATTCAGCATTTAAATCACCTCACAGTACAAAAATGTTTCCTAATATTCAGAGTGAACTTCCCCTGTTTCAGTTGGTGCACATTGCATCTGGTCCTGTCAATGGATACCATAGAAATTAGTCTGGTTCCCCCATCAGATATTTGCACATTGATAAGGTTCCCCCCAAAGCTGTCTCCTCTAGAGGCTAAGCAGTACCAGCCATTTCACCACAAATCCTTTACCAGATACCACAATTCCTTATCATCTTTAGGAAAAAACGAAGACCTAAGGAACTACAGACCAATGTAGTCAGTCTTGGTGTCCATCGAGATCATGGAGCAGTTCCCCCTGGAAACTATGAGAAGGCACGTGGAAACTAAGGAGGTGACTGGTGACAGCCAACATGACTTCACTAAGGGCAAATGGCACCTGGCAAATCTGGTGGCCTTCTGTGATGGGGTTGCAGCTTTGGTGTGTGAGAGAAGAGTGACTGACATCATTTACCTGGACTCATGCAAAGAATTGGCCACTGTCCTGCATGAAATTTTGTATCTAAACTGGAGAGACGTGAATTTGACAGAGGCTCCAATCGGTGGGCAAGGAATTGGCTGGATGGTTGCACTCAAGAATTGTGGTCAATGGCTCGATGTCCAAGTGGAGAGCAGTGACAAGTGGTGTTCCAGTTTTGAGATCAGTTTTGGGACCAAACCGGCTCCACATCTTTATCGATTACATGTTTTGTACTTTCCTGTACCCCTTTCAACCCTACACTCATATACAGGTTTTGTCCTCAGAAAACAGGGATAGACAGTTTGTACCTATCCCAGCCACTGAGTGCTCACTGTCAGTATGGTGGCCTGACAAAGACGTGTCTGAACACTTGCATATCTACCCGGCAGGCAGATACTTGTCCTTTGATTTAAAATTGGCAAGTGACCCAAGTGCTTTGTTTTCTCTTCCACCTAATGCATTCAGCATTGGTAGCTCCTAGGACTCCATTGAAGACATTTTGCTCTTTTGTGGTTCAGACAAGGAGAAACTACTGTTTAATAATGAAATTGTGTTGCTGGTGATTCAGCTGATCTGGTATCAAAAGTCTTAATGTATATGTCAGGTTTTCAGTGTAGAAGATTCTGTGAAAGATACCATCAACTATGACAGCTCATATCTACTGAACTAAGTCAAAATATATTTATAAATTCTGCCATGTTAGCTTATTCCTAAAGATGCTGGGGTCAGAAAGGGTATGCACATGTATATGATAGTAAAGCATTCTTTGAGTGAGCAGGGCTTTTTTCCACCATGAGAAAGTGGCTTTTGTTATCAAGCATTTTATCCAGTTTATGTCACATCCTGGTTGGCCATCAATGAAATGGTTTGATAAAGCCTATGCCAGTGGAAGCAGCCACATGGTAAGAAATTCTCTAGCTAAACCATACAATTGGATTACCAGCACAGTGAAACTAGACTTACATTTTAGTGCTCATACTAATTCTAGCTTAGGGCTAGACCTCCCCCCATACATTATTAATATAAGTGTTAGCATACATTATTAATGTAGGTGTTAGGAAGAGCACTTCAGGGTCAACTCCTGATTTGCGACTTGATTTGAATTCAAAACTTCACTGTTGAAGTTGGGTTGAAATGAATTTCTTTTTGCACATGAATGGGAGTCTGGCTGGGAGCAACACCTGGTTTCTTCCAGCTACTGTTAGTAAAGTCAATCAATATGTGTCCAGCTGCCCAGTTAGGGACCCATGAGTATTGCCATTGCATGCAGTCCAATATCCCGACTGACATATTAGTAATTCTCAAATATTTTACGGGCCAATAAAAAAAATCCCCAGTTTTGTGGAATAATCTCCTAAAGAGTAGCAATCGCCCTCTGACTTCAGACAGCAGCTGGTGTATATCCTGAAGTATCAGGTTTTATTTGAAAAAAATACTAACTACTAGCAATCGTGAAAGAATTGTAAATGCTAAATTCTTGTCTAATATTACTGTGGACCCTGATCACATCTATTTTTTTCCTTAATTATATACTATAACTATAGACTTTAAAAGTTAAATTCAGATTATGTGAAAACTTTTTTTAGAAATATTTCCTTTGATCTGTTTCAATAATACTGAGGCTAGTTTTGTAAGAAGAGATAGTATCTTCTAATAGAGCCAACTGGTACTGTTGGAAAAAACCCGGTGTTCACACATTACTTTTTTGGTTAAACTAGATTCCTACCTACAAAACTTGTCTTGCCTATCCCTTAAAAAAAAAGTCAGCTACAGTAACTCTTTCTCTTTAAAAGTATTGTTATTCATTTGCATTATCTGATGCCAGCCTGCACTTAAAGATCTGTTTCCACATGATTTAATAAACATGTTAATTCTGGGCTGGCACAAAGAGAAACTGTCACTCTCAGTAGCAAACATGGATTTCTCAAGAGTGGTTCAAATGTTAGGGGGGAGTTGCTTGGCACTCGTAAGCCGATTTGGCTGGAAAAAAAAGAGCTCTTGGCAGATGTTTCCCTTCCAAGGATTCCCTCCCCCTCCCTCGATTTTTCATCTTATAATGTTTGGTTCTGCCTTTCTGGCACAGCTCATAAAAACTCTGTCACTTGGCTATGGCTGCATGCATGCATACAGTGGTATTTCTCCCTTTCTGGGTCGAAAAGCACACCACAGTTATCACTTAACTACAAAGTGGGACAAGACCCAGGGGTATCTATCTGTTTCTCCTTCCTCTTGCTTCCTGAATTTCATGCAAAGTACAGCAACACTCTCCACAGAAGTGCCAGCTGCAATGATCAGGGGACGTAGTTTTGTGAAAAAAATATCATCAATCACACCTTTGCAGGAATGCATTGTACATCTCCATGCACTACATGAAGCAGGGGAGCAAGCTGAAACAGACAGAGAATGGTCTGTGGGCCTCCTCAGCACTCTGGCTGACCAGCAGGAACAGGCAATAAAAATTAGAATCTGGATCATGATTAATGAGAAGATGACAGGCTCCCACAAGGGCACTCACTTCCTA